GAAAAGATCTGGCCTCATTTAATTATTTCTCTGCTCCCATATTTGACACAGTTCTGAGTGCATGTCTCTCAGGACAGCACTTCACAGAATAAGCTGCAGCCAGTGGCAGAATCTCTTAAGCGACAAACATAAAACTGAAACATGGCAGAACTGTAATATCAGCTGGTTACCACTGCCCCAGCTCAAGACCTTTTTGGAGCTCTGAGAATCCCAACTGCGATTTCATCATTTAGCTATCTCCCAGCCTTGACTTGGGCAGAGCTCTGCTTTTACCAGGGAACAAACACACCATTACCTGCAGCACTACCAGTCCGTCCTGGCCCAAGAAATAAAAAAAAGGACCGAGTGAGGGCCATGAACTTTATCCTCATGTGTGGCAGTGTACTGTTGTATCACCAAATCAGGCCAAATCTATACTTGCAATAAAAGGGACTTTGCATTAGAGCAAATTCTAGCCAAAACTTTTGCTTTAGGAAAAAAGATGAGACAGATACGGTTTTCAAATAAATCCATCAAAATGACATCAAGAACAATCAGTGTCTGCAATCCAAGCACTGCACTAAGGCTTGAATAAGTCACTCTAACTGCCTCTAATCCAAGTCAACTTGACCCATCTCTTCATTTAGGCTGAAAAAAATGCAAAGAGGAAACAGTTAATTTTTAAAGTTCTTTCTGTGTTGTTTCAAATTGCTTGAAGCAAGTAAGATGTATACATTTTTAAACTGCCTGGTATAACGTTACCAATACCACAGTAGATGCCAAAATTTAATTGAGTTTTTGCAAAATATAATAAAAGGATGTTAATGCAGTCACTAGATGAAAAGAGACAATGGAGTTTATGGAAATTAGGTTCTCAAAGTTGTATATAAATATTAAACTAATGTCCTCAATGTATCCTCATCACATAGTTACTTGTAATGCCCCCCAGAGAAAGAAAGCCCGGTGACTTAATACTGGCTTTCTGCACAAGTATGTGGTAGAGCTTACCTAGCTAAGGTGAGAAAATGAGAAAAGGAGCTGAAATGTAGGCAGACCTCTCTCAGAAGTTTCAACAGAAGAGTTCATTTAAATTAGGTTTCAACCTTACAAAAAGCTGACAGCTTCCATTTTCAGAGAGAGGAGTCTAAAACACAGATACAGTCTTTTGTATGATTCTATGGGACTCAGAGAACACGGTTTTAGTTTCAAGTCAATCACTAAGGTACATTGAATATTCTGCAAAGGATAATCCCAAGTACAGGATGGTATGTTCAATATACCAGAATGAAGAAACACCTTCACAGACACAGTGGAGAAGCAGGAAATTGCCACTTCTTCTTCCAAGGACTTTGCAGCCTTCCTAGAAAATCACTGTAATCTCACTGACTTGAAAAGCAGCAGAGATGTCGTATAGGACCATGCCTGGATCTGACACGGACAACAGCAAGAAAGAGCCAAAGCATAGGGAGCTGTTTAAAAAGGGAGAACCCGCTCTGTTGGGTGCCACGTTGGCTGGAGAGCTTGGGGAAAAATGTCAACCAAATGAAGTCACTTCCAACTAAAACATGGGGTTCAACAAACCCCTGTGAACTCATGAAAGATGGAATCCGTATCTATCGCTCAACACTTCCGGCCCCAATTCTGCACACCTAAAAGGAAGCAGTGACACAACCCATTTTCATTATATTGGTTATATACAATCAGCAGAGTAAGACAATTATTAACAATGGGACAGCAAGAGACAGAATTGCTATGATTAAGGAATAAGGTTAATTAGCAAGGCAGATTTCATTTAGAAAGTAAAGCTATGAAGACAGGCATGGAACAGTGCATAGTTTTATTGCTGGCGGATTGGCAGGGAAAGGGAGTACTGTAGTCATTATTTCCATCACCTCCCTGTTTTGGTTTTCCTATGCTTTATTTAATTTTAACATGCTGACAAAACTGTTAAAGGGGAGGAAAATTCATGTCTGGTTTGGAGATGCTGCCTTGGCAGGGATGTACTAAGATAATGTACTAAGCTGATTACTTCTCCCATTTCTACGTTTCCTTTTAAAGCCAAAACTCTGCAGAAAAACTGCCATTAATAGCAGAAGTGGGCAGCATTCTGGGATAGGCAATGTGATAAAGAATTAGCTTGGAGGCCTGAAATGAGAAGTAAACAAACACCCTGTCATCAGCTCCTCCAAAAAAAGGAAGGGGGACAATTTTTCCACAGCTCTCTACAGGCTGCTGGATATGAACTGTTATTTTAAACTTGTGCAGGCCCCAGTGCAGCCAAGCCACAACTAAAGGCCTGGCAAAGGAAGGACTCATTTGCAAGTGGCACAAATCCTTCCTGCAGCAGAAGGGGAGCACGCCAGAGCGGCGAGGAACAAAGCAGAGCACACTGACTGCATAAACCAAAAGATCCCAGGCATCTGGGAGCGGAACAAATGAGAACATTTGTCTACTAGCAGGTTGGCCACCAGGTGTGTTCTGAGTCACAAAGAACAGACTGGGAAGGTGTTATGCTGCCCTAAAGGCTGAAGGGACAAATCTATACCCTGAACTTGCAGATGATGGTTGAGAGTGTTTACGGTGACTCATGGAAATACTCTGTGCCAGTTCCTCCGTTGGTGTAAACACGCATGACTCCACAAACCGCAACGGTGCTGTGCTAATTTATGGCAGCTCAGGGCTCCATCCGGTCTGTTTACAGATCACTTCAAAGGAAAATAAGCAACCAAGGACCATCACCTCTCCGACCCTGAATGCACCATGATTCACCTGACCCGTTACAAATCCTATCAGGTCTTCTTAACTAGAAGACTGCTAACCTCAGAGGTGCGCTGAAGGTCCAAGCCCCAGCAACAGTGGAGTTACTGACAGGTTGTAACGTCTCGGTGACACGGCACAGCACCGATCACCATGCCCTGTTTCTGAGTCCATGACAACGCAATCTTCTCTCAGATTTCTGCCTCTGAGCAAACAGTAACATTAGATTCTCGTGGTTACAAACCCAGCCAGCATCCTAAAAAGCAAAATGGAAGTTGCAGACTGGCTTGCTGTGATACTTTTGCAAATTGTAAGAGTCTCTCCCCTCCCCACCTTGTAAAAACAATTCAGTGTACTAACACCCAGAGTGACCACCCACTGCCACAGACATGCACCTAAGTTAGGATGGCCAAAGCGAAGATGCCCAACTGTCCTGAATGCTTTCTCTAAACAGCACAGGCTCAGGAAATGTATCCTCTTTTTTCAGGAAAGTCCTTCTGTGAGAGAACAAACTTGCTCCTCTTTCTTCCAGGCAGTGAATCTCAGCCAGAGACAAGGCTTGGCAAACAGAAAGGAAGCCTAGAAGAGAATAAGTGCTGCCTGCTGGATGTTCATATTGCTCCTGCACTTGGCCTCCTACTCAGGATTTTAGCAGACACTTAACAGTTCAGCTTTGCACCCTAATACCTGTGACCACAAGTACTAGATATGAGTGGCATCGTCTTCAGGATCTTAAGGAAATCTCTTCCCACAGAAAAGTTCCCCTCTGAGCTTGCAGCTCTCTGCTCCATTAACAGCACTGCCAGTTTGGATTTTACAGCAAGGCGGTAATGTTGCACCACATCAATGCTAGCAGAACTAGACCCCTCAAAAGAAGACATGCCCCCCTGCTGCTTGCCCTCCTTCACCACTACCATAGCTATCAGCAGGATTGTTAAGTTAAAGAGTCTTTGGTGGTTAGCCAGAAAACACGCTAGCAAAGGGGGCTGGAATCGAACCCACGCAAACATTGATTCTATTTCCCCTCCCAAACACAATGTGTCATGCACTGCACCCTTCCTCCACAAATGCTTCAAGTGCCTCAGAAACCAGAGGGGATGGTGGGACTGCACTCGTTTTTAGAGGTACACCCAGAAAAGAGTCTGATAGATCCAACTCTTAATTAAGACATTCTTAAAAAAAAAAAAGTCTCCCTTACTCCTGGCCAGCCCTAGCCAAGATGGTGGGACAGCTGGTCCTTTGCCTCTAACTGCATCTCTGGGGCATGGGCCAAAAGAAAGCTCTAACATGGCTAATTTTCCCTCCCACTACACAGAAGCGGGGCTTCCATTCTCTTGGTCGCCATTAGTTTATGCGATTCATATTCAATACTGTCTAGAAGCCCTATTGCCCCTCACCCCTAGAATTTAACCTCACTGTGTCAGCAGCAGATTATGGGGCCCTGAGTGTAACCCTTTTCCAGCTATATCAGTGTCAACTCCGAGCTTCAACACAACCCCAGGCTGGTGGCCTCTGGTTTTCAGGACAGAGGATCACGCTGCCAAGAGATGAGAAAGAGGCAACTTCAGTGCAGAAGGCCAATTTAGTTCTCCCTTAGATTAACAGGGAAGGTGGTGAATCTCATTATGAACAAACCACACTGCTCCCAAATGGAACAAGAGGAACAACTAGAAAAATCAAACATACACAGAACCATTCAGAGGTACCCTTCCTCATGTGGTCTGCAGTCACCGTGACATTTTGTCCAGGAGTCCAGAGAAGATGACGAATAACTGTGAGAAACCCCTTGTTTTTCCTTTCTATACAGGAATCAAATGAATACAGCTCCTCCAACTTCTCTCT